GGCCGGAGGATGCGGGTCGGGCCTGCTCGCCCATGAGAGGGAGGATGGGAACGCAGGGCAGCCCGGTGAAGAGCTACGATTACCTCCTCAAGTTCCTGCTGGTGGGGGACAGCGACGTGGGCAAGGGCGAGATCCTGGAGAGCCTGCAGGACGGGGCCTCCGAGTCCCCCTACGCCTACAGCAACGGTGAGGGGGCTGGGGCGGGGACCCCCTGCGGGCCCTCCTTTCCTTTGTTGGGTGCCGGGTGTTTCTGAATTAGCTGGGGGATAATGAGCTGGAGGCCGCTTCTCAGGGGTCGTGGGGCCGCTTCTCTCTCAGGGGTCGCGTGGCGGGTGGTGGAAAAAGTCCACGGTTGCTCGTTCAGATCTTTCAAGGTCTGCAGGAGAATTCGCCCAGCCAGGGGCAGAGGGGTCGGTGGTGGCTGTAACCCCCCCACACTCCAGCCCAGCTGGACCCTTCCCCAGCAGAGCTCGGGAGAGGCTCTCTGCTTGGAGAGACCAGCTGGTTTCCCGTGGCCCCTGGGGGGTGAACGCCAGGACTGAGCTGTACCCGGAGGAAGAGGGTCTGTAACAAAGAACCTGGAGCCTTATTTCCAAGGCAGAGCTGCTCTCTCGGTAGCTGCCAGCACAGCTCGGTGGGTCCGCCTCCTGCAAACATCAAGGTTTCTAATGGAGCCCATGACAGACCATTAACTACAGTGTCACAAGACCATAATTAAGAGCCAAGGAGTGGCGCTGTGCTATTTCCTGCATCCCCTCGCCGCAGTCACAGCATAACACAGCCTGGCAGGGTGCGGGTCCTGGGGTGGTTTTCAATCTGTCATCCTCCCCCCAGCCTCCCTGTGAAATAACATCCCCAAGGGCTCGACAGAAGCCGTCCAGTTCAGACCCTGCATCAGCGCTGCAGCCAATCCCGGGGCTGGAGCAGGTGGCTTTGTTGGGTGCCGGGTGTTTCTGAATTAGCTGGGGGATAATGAGCTGGAGGCCGCTTCTCAGGGGTCGTGGGGCCGTTTCTCTCTCAGGGGTCGCGTGGCGGGTCGTGGAAAAAGTCCACGGTTGCTCGTTCAGATCTTTCAAGGTCTGCAGGAGAATTCGCCCAGCCAGGGGCAGAGGGGTCGGTGGTGGCTGTAACCCCCCCACACTCCAGCCCAGCTGGACCCTTCCCCAGCAGAGCTCGGGAGAGTCTCTCTGCTTGGAGAGACCAGCTGGTTTCCCGTGGCCCCTGGGGGGTGAACGCCAGGACTGAGCTGTACCCGGAGGAAGAGGGTCTGTAACAAAGAACCTGGAGCCTTATTTCCAAGGCAGAGCTGCTCTCTCGGTAGCTGCCAGCACAGCTCGGTGGGTCCGCCTCCTGCAAACATCAAGGTTTCTAATGGAGCCCATGACAGACCATTAACTACAGTGTCACAAGACCATAATTAAGAGCCAAGGAGTGGCGCTGTGCTATTTCCTGCATCCCCTCGCCGCAGTCACAGCATAACACAGCCTGGCAGGGTGCGGGTCCTGGGGTGGTTTTCAATCTGTCATCCTCCCCCCAGCCTCCCTGCGAAATAACATCCCCAAGGGCTCGACAGAAGCCGTCCAGTTCAGACCCTGCATCAGCGCTGCAGCCAATCCCGGGGCTGGAGCAGGTGGTGCTTAGTTTTTTGCCTGTGAGCAGGAGTCTGAGGGAGCCGGGTGCTTCTCCAGGCTCTGTGTGTGGAGCTGGCTGAATTTGGAGTGCAAAGGAGTGGCATGGCTCTGCTCCCGGCTGCGTGCTCTGTCCTCAGAGCTACTACCAGCTTGGTGGGAGCTGATGCAAGCACACACCTGCTCCACAGAGATTTACAGGGAGCTGGTGACTCAGAAGTCGGGATGCTTGTGAAATGAGAGCAGCAGATTCTGGAGCTCGAAGGCTGTGGTATCATTCATCTCCTTGGGTGTCTGGCTGGGCTGGTGTGGTTTGCCTTCCAGGAGATGCTTGGTGCTTTTAAGCTTCCCTGAAGAGAGTTTGTGTCTCTGAAGAACCTGCCCCACCTGGGAGCTGTAGAGCTGCTCTTCAGGGTTAGTGTTCATGAAGCAGGGAGGGATGAAGAGTGTAACGGGGTGGTTGTTTTAAGTGAGGTGTTAAAGGTGGGATTTTCTTTGGAGAGAAATGGCTTTGATGCTGTTTTGCAGCAGGTGATGCAGAAGTAACCAGTACAATTGCACAGTGTGGGGAGAGTTCTTTGATAAACACATAAAACCCAAAGAGCAGTGACTTTGGCTGTCACTATCAAAGCTTTGTCTCTTTGCCTGCTGGTTTATATCAACAAAATTCCACCATCTTTTATTCTAGGAAAATAAATACCAGTGAGCTAATACTTTCAGAACTTTCCATCATCTGTGGGCAGTCAAACCCATTTCTGGTTAGATAATTAGGTCACATACTGTTTTTTCACAGTAATATATACTCTGATAGTCTCTGCTTCTGGTGCTTCTGTGAAGCTACGTGCTCAATCAATCAGATGGAGTAGTTTTGGGTGACTTTATGAATGCTGATGCTCCTGACAGCCTTGGCAGCCCAACTCCCTCCTTCTCAGGCACAGTTGGGATGTGTGTACTGACAGGGCAGGCTCCTCCACCAGTGTGCTTTCACTCTGCCCTGGCAGACCATCCCCTGATGTGAAGGCGCTTAGATTTTGTGAGCAGCTACTGCCTGGCCTCCTCCTTGACAAGTACTGTCCCAAAACTGCTAAGGTGGGGTGTTATATGTAAAACGTTTTGTATATCTTTTACTCGTAAGTGCATTACCCTCCTCCTCATCCCCTCCCAGACCCCACATCCAAATTTGAATCAAATGTTGTGTCATCTACCACTTGTTTGATCTGTCCAGAAGCAGAACTTGCTGTTATCAGTGTGAAATGGAGTATGTTTTAGGTTGATCTTGTAATGGAAACATCTGATGTCAAGCTCAGATCCCTAACCTCTGGTGGGGAGTGGTAGAGATGTTGTGCCCATGCTCTGTCTCGTTGGGATCTGCTGCTTTTACTCTGTTGGCCAATTACAGCTGTTCTGACAGGTTATTTGAAATGCAGCCTGAACTAGATTGTCCTCTCAGCTCTGGGGAGGTAGATCTTTAAAAGTGAACATCTGTAAAGGAAGGTCCTTATTTTTCCTGTTGCCCTTCTGCCACATTCCTGGCCTCTAGAAAAGGGGCTGAGGGATTCCTCTCTTCTCCGTGGGCACCTGGGTGTGAGCACCCAAGAGGTGAGAAGCCCTTTTTCAGTCAGCATCTCTTTTGTGAGCTGCAAGCAGCAGGCAGCCCCTGCTTGCTTGCACCTGGAAGCCTTGGGTGCAGTTTGAGCCTTGTTTTTCTTAAAGCATCCTGGTTCCTTCTGTCCCTCCCTGTCCAGGATCCCTGAGCCAAAGCGTCACTTCTCAGCTTAGTCTCACAGCTTTGGCTCGTCATGTGAAATCAGGCACATCCTAGGTGAAGCACTGCAGCTCCTCTGGTGGGCAGCAAGGCCTTGGCAGTGCCTTGAGCCTCCACTGCTGTTAGGAATGAGTCTGGTCCATCCAGCAGAGGTGGCTGTTACTCCCTGGGTGCTGATGGCCTTTGCCACAAGAGGTGTGAGTGATGCCCCTGACCAGCTGCAAGGGTACTGGATACAGAACCTCTGGTGATTTAAACCCCTCCTTAAAATGCTGGTTTTGAGGTCCATGTGTCACATCTGTGTTTCTTAGTGTCTTAGTGTTTCTTAGCTGAAATTACCAAGTTCATCAGCCTCTAGGAGCACCAGGCCAAGCATTTGCTATGCAGAGCAGGATGCCTCCTGTCCCCAGGAGGGTTTGTAACTGAGGTGGGCTTTTACTTTTTTCTTGGCCAGCCACAAAAGGCCCTGAATTAAGCCTTCATACTAGTATTTTGGCCAAAATGTGGGCTTTTGGGAGAACATTCATGTGCTTCTGGGCTTCTGATGTTGTCCTGCTTTCCAGCTTTCGCTCCCCACTCCCCAAACCTGCAGTGGTGGAGACAGGGTGCCATTCTCAGAGCCCTGCTGCTTCTGTTGACAGCTGGAGGACCTCAGACAGGAACGAAAAATCCTGCCTTTCCCCTAGATGCTTCTTCTCTCAGCACCTGTTTCTTCTCCCGAGGCAGAGGGGAGGACTGCTCAGTCCCCTCTGCTTTGGGCTGTGGTGTGACACTGACTCACAGCAAAACCGTGTGCCTTGCTCGCGGGTACGAGTCAACTACAAAGATCACTCTTCTCTCTGGGGTTTAATTTGCCCACTTGAGGTCTGTCCTTATCCTCCCCCAGGTACTGAAGCAGGACAGAAATGTCTCTGGTCAGAGGGTGGCTTTGAACCACGAGATGTGGTAGAGCTCCATGTGAAAGTAAGGGCAGAGAACATGTCCTTCAAAAGGAAAACAAGGCTGTTCCTCACCTGCAGGACCCATGGCTTTGTCACTCCTGTGACACACTCTTGAATATCTAGTTACTCATGTGCTTGTGCTGAAATGATCTTGTCCAGCTGGTTTGTTGGCTTGGTGGAGAAGCCAGCCTTGCTGGGGCTGCACCAAGGCCAGGTGAGGCAGGGAGGGCTCCTTGCTGGGCAGGCACGAGTGCCACTGCTGCTGGGTGAGTCGGTGCCCTGGGTTCACCAAAATAGGGCTGGTCTCACCACCCAGGATGTGATGGGCTCCATCCTCACGTGATGGAGGGCTTTTTCTGCAGCAGAGCCTTCCCCCTCACCTGCTGCTGTTCCCATAGGAAAGGAGAAACATGTTAGGGAAAGGGTAGAGAGTGGAAGGTTCTCCCCATGCCTGTGACACGCGT